TCTCGCTGAGTGAAGCAGGATATCATCACTTAGGGGCCCAGGTAGGTACCTCACTGGTTCTCGTTATGAGCACGCTTACAGCGCCTGATCAGTTCATTTATTTAGGTAGACCCAACACTTGTGTTGGTCAAGTTGCCTACGAGGCTGTCTTGCGTAATGCGGAAACTCGTGTGGCCCTTAGACTTCTCATCATCTGTGGAGGCGACGAGATAGCAGTTTGTTAGTTGAGAGCAAAATGTGAAATCCTCTTAATTCGTTTTATTCCGCTCACTTGTGCCATTACATATGCTTGAAGAGTGTCATATCGAAACTGCTCCATAGTTTCTCTAGCGTGATTTCCGAAGCTAGGCGAAATTATGCCGATAGACTATCTCCGTAGGTCCGCAAGACAAAATTCGTTCATCCGAGGTTCCTCGCATCCTCGTTTTTGTTTACTTTGTTATAAAAACGACCATCATTAACTATCTTCTCAGTCATTACGGGGGTGAAAATTCTGTTCGGTTACAAATTGACAGTATGTAAACGAACTAGCGTTCTTGAGATCAAACCTATGGAAACTCATGGAAACGCTTCTGGACCAACGGCCAGTCAGCACTTCACGTCTCGATAGTCCCTCCTATCCAATTTGGGCATGAATTTACAGGAGTGAGTCGACACACCACTGGTTCTATTTGTGAAAACTCACTGGAAGTGCTCGATCGGTTCTCTCGCATTACTATTATCACTTCACGTGTTCAATTCACTGAGGATGTTGATACACTTAACACTCATGTGGTTGTACAACGTCTCTGTTCGCGAGATATCGGCCTGTCAGCCATGGACAGGGTGCACGATGCGCTAAGGCCGGTGTTACTGTATTGAGAAAAAGCATGATTTCATGTACAAGATATTACAAAACAGGAATTGTCGTTACTTGTACCCACTGATTATAATCAATAATTATTGATCGTGCCGGGTGGAAGCACCGTGCAGATAATATTGAGATTTGCCTGCTGTAGGTTGCGGAGACTGGCACCGTATAAGTGTTTGTTGAACTGGAACCGCCAACCTCGGATATGCTATATCCTTCGCATACCTATCGAACAGTGATCTTAGTGTACTTATTTGATTTTACTACTGTGCCCAGTTTGGTGACACCGCTGGGTTGTTAGCCGACGTCGCTACAAAAGGCATCTACAAATGGACTGATGGACCTGATTAGGCTAGTGCGTGCCTTCCCTCTGGATAAGGAGTTCGGGTTCGTACACTTCGATATTTGGAGGACTTATTTTATAGATTTCATTCGCGGATTCTGGGGTGCTCCTACACTCGGTCTCTTACATCTGGTTGTTACCATGATAACGGAGTAAACTGTATTTACACTTTCCTTTCCATCTCTTTTGTTTTACATTTTGTCTCACACATTGTTAATTATATTTAATTTGATTAAACTATTACTAGTACCATTGTGATACGAGTCATGACACATGAAACTACCGTATGTCGACGCTTGAATCATGATTGCTCACCCGAATTCAGCTTTGTTTCCACGTTTGCTCATGTATACACATTTTCTTTGCGAGTAAGCCGACTTTAGTCAAGACAACCAACCTTTCCAGGTTAGAGCACAGACCACACTTAACTGATTAATCAGCTAACTGTTCAGCTTACACTCAAACAAGTGCCACCACAGCTTCATTGTTTGACTCACCGCTTGAGTAGCATCGCTAGGTAGAGCCACTTGTACGCACACCTTATCTGTCGACCTCTGTCCCTTGTGTGTGGTCAATTGGTCCGGTTGGTAAATTGGTTGCTGACTCTCTAACTGCGGGTTACTACTGGTGAATACAGTGAGTTACAACCTTTACGCTTTAAATGAACCCCACCCTTTATACAAAGGCAGTTGCCGTCTTGAGGCACTGCCAGGATATGGAATGTAGGCTCCCTTAGTTGCATTCGACGCGTTGCGGATTACGAAGGGCAAACAGTCAGGTACACTGTCGTTCCAACCCACAGCCCACTGGAACGTCGTACTTCTCTCTTCAATGTTATGCTACTTTGTATGGCTTCCAATGCGCATAATTCATACGATGGCTTCATCGAGACTAGAAATTACTTCATGATATGGAATGCTCATCAGAGGGGCCGATAGACCTTGCTATGCAGTGTAGTATAGTGTCCAGTCGCGCCTAATAAATGCAACCAATTGCGAACCCGGTCGCGGAGGGCAATGTGACCAATTGCAAACAGCAAACATTCCTCCTCGGCTGAGGTCCAAAAGCGCACTACAAGGCGAACCGTAGTCCTGTTTGAGATTACGAGTCACAGTAGATCATAGATGACACCCACTTCGAGCTACTAGTGTTGTCGGTTCCAACTATATCGCTGGGTCATTTTGCACTGGGTTGCTCTGAAGATTTAACCGATTCTAACTCGCTTATCTACTGGTGCACACTCTAAATCGAGCGTACAATACCACGTTCAAAGTTGCCCGTTGTCATTTGTTTTGCTCAGAACCATACGCAGATTATACGCACGGTTCTGCCGTGTTTGGACTCATGAATGCATTTCATTCGGTTCATCTAATGATGTGTGTTATACATAGCCGTTCTCTGAGATTAAAAATATGTAGGTAGAAACAATGAGGTTCTCTGTGCTGGGAGCATACAACCACATAATAGGTTCGTACAAGTAAAAATATGGTTAACTTTGACATCGTCCTTGAAATCTCAGCGTTCCGAAATGGCGATATGAACAACAGATGTCTATTTAAGTGTTCACTTTGTTCCGCTCTTAGCTTTACTGTTCCAGGGTATGAAACGAACTACTCCCCTGCTGTCCCACATCACTCAAAGCAGAAAGCCTACGCTATCTATCCATCCGTTCATATAAGTGACTGCAAGGGCGATCCGCGAAGTCTGGCTGCCATACGTCCAGTGCAATGAGGGTGTCGAGCACACAAACTCCAATGAGAGTTCAGCCTCGATTTAACGGTAACAGATCTGTTTTGGTCCTGTCTGTTGAGAAGACCAAATTTAAAACGATTATGCGGACATGTGGACAGTAAGCAAATGGGATCACTGTTGCCTAATTAACTAACGACTGTAGCTGAATACTTCGCAGCGGCCCAGCCACATGTTGGCCCCCTGTTCTACATTACGTTTTTGTTTCCTTGCTTATTGCGGAGCTTTGTAGTTTGATATTATTAATGTAACGCAAGAACTAACGCGCCGCATTTCCTTGACTGCTTTCGCCTTCCACAGTGGCGTACATTAACGATAGCAAACGCACCATAAACTCGAACTGCCTTTTTTATGCCGATGAGATCAAGGTGTGAAGGGCGATAAATACACCAGATGATATCACAGTACTTCAAACTAATCTGAATAGGGTATCCGCGTAGTCGACCCAGAATCTACTTCGATTCAGTACGGACAAATGTGTACCTACGTCGCATGTTGGTGCACTCCTAAAAACTCGGCAACCAGAAGCTTGAAACTTCTTCTAGCGAGAAGGATCTGGGAGCTCTGCTACAGGTCGACCTAGGATGTTCGAAGCAAGCTGAAAAGATGTCTAAGAGTGGCATTCAACATGTGGGCTTCCTGAAGCATGCATTTGGACGATTCGACTCTCCTATTCTTCCACAACTTCTCGATTCATACATACAGCCACATGTGAAGTACGCAATACAGATCTGGCAACTATGGCTGCGTAAAGATCTCACCGCCTTGGACATACCCCAACGTCGCGCAACCAAGAATGTCAAAGGTCTGTATAATTTGCCGTATGAACGTAGGCTTCAATTGCTCGGGGTCTTCAGCGGACAGTTTCGGAGATTGCGCGGGGACTTCATTATGACTTGTGAGTGACCCCAGCCACACATGCCGCTACCTATTAGAGCTCAGTCACAACAGCAGTTTGAGAGGCCACCATCTCAAACTGACAGGGCAGCACAGTCCCTTGGAATGCCGTCGGAATTTCTTTTCCCTATGCGTTTGCAGAAGGTGTAATACCCTACCGCGCTGACAGAGTTCATTGGCTGAGTTGACTGTACACTTATTTCGCTACACCATCTTACATGATTGATTACCCATAGATAAACGCAAGTGTCTGTTAAAGATTTCACTGATGGTCAAATCACAGATTTCGTTCCACGTTTGTCACCTCATGTATTTGTACACCAGAAGGAGACACGATTTTTACCAACATCCATTTTGCCGTCATTACTCATGGATTTTCATTCCATACTACGTATACTTCAGTGAGTTCATTGTATAAACCCAATTTTGCTAACACTTTTTATATTTTGCAGTTTCACCATAAGCATCCTGCGGGACCTGTTAGGCATCACTCTTTTACCTGTATAAAACCATTGTTCCATTAAAATCTGTCTTTATAGAAAATGGTCTCTCGGCTCCATCAACGTATAGACATAGCGTCCGGTCTTCACTGGCAGATCCACTCCAGTGATCTCCTAGCCAAGGTACTGGTTCGTCTTTTTACTGTTGTCGACTGTATTACCAGTTTTGTCGCGTTAATTACGAATCGAGACGTCGAAGTCCAGGGTTTAACTACCTCAGAAATCTGTTGCAATCCTTATATCCTACCCATAACACCTTCGTTTGGGCTGCACCTACGGCTTTCCCATCAGCGGCGATTGAATAGTCATAAAGTGCATGCAAGGTGTATTGAGGTGCAGCGATGAAAACGATGATGGGTTATGCAGTATTGACTATTTTAAAGTAATAGTATAACCTCTCTATCGATCTTATTCGCCCTACTATTACATATGCGTTTATGTAGTCAATATTTTGCGACCAGGTGCTTTACGAATGGCTTACTCGGCTTTTGAATCAACCTGGAGAAAAGCATATTGTACACTAAAATATTTATCGGTCAAGTTACACCAATTGTTACATAGGAGTATATCCGTATTACATCCACTAATGAGAGGTATATCCGTCACGAGATATGGAAATAGAAATAAACTGATAATCACGTTGCTGTGGTCGGAACTCAGTTTACCAAAATGAGTGCGAAGCGCCACCCGGTGGCTGAGCTGTCTTCACGGAGGTGTGTATCTGCCGTTGCCCGGGGGGTAGAACCACTAAAACAAATGAAGAGTCAGCGTGTTATATTGGAAAGCTATTGAAACACTACGTGGTTTATTGTTTTCCTTAACATGTAGAGTTGCCTCCTGTCATTCTTAAGCGATGTATAATACTCATTAGTGCCATCTTGCAGTGCTCGTTTTCTAATTGTTTTGTTCAAAATATTCATTAGGCTTCTTTACCAATTTACACAAGTCTATGATGTGCGTATCACGAGGTGCTTGTTTCTGTTGTATTCCTGATCCTAGCCTATGCGACGCGTCGTATACCTAAGTAAGAATTCAGTTGTTCCTATGTCAAGGTTTGCCTAGGAATATTTGCAGGTCAATGAGTTCCCAATTTCTCATTGGAAGTGATGAAATACATCGCATTCTACATATATTTTGCATACATAGGCCAAGTCATATAGTACTGGATTGCAGGTGAGGTCACCCATTAGTAAACATGGAGTAGCATGCGGGTAATTACCTTGCACCATTTTCGCTCAGATCCAATTTACAACACCGGTGTGCAAAAATGCAGTTAAATACTTAAGTATTGGCGGAGTAGTATCGGAGTACCGGATGCATCCTTTCATATACACGGGTCTTTTTCAATAATCTTCTAGCGACATCTTCAGAGAGCCACTATTTAAACAAACCGTAGCATCACTGTCTGGTTCGGCTTCTTAATATGAGTCTCACCAAATCCATGCTGAACAACCGTATATATTATTCATCAAAACTTCAACTACATTTTGCATCGGCCGTCGCGCTGCATTAAATGATAGGCTTATCTGTTGCATGCAACAGACAACATGTCTACGAATTTTAAGCTTACAACTCGATTGGCGTAGAGCACACACATCACACATTGTCTCTGAAGGCGCGAAGGCACCGCCCGGTGCCTAATGGTCTGCTAGCCCGCGCCTCAAGCCAGGCAGACGTGGTCAAATTGGTGCAAACTCGCCAACTCCCACCTGCGGCTGGCCGCGGTCCTAGGAGCATAACATAATGCGGTCGTACAACACAAGTGCCTTGTCCTAAATCTTCAAAGGCTGTGTGTGACACACCTCAAACAGACCCCAGTGGGCCTCTACAATCATACTTCCGATCTGGACTTGCTTCCCACTGCTTTGCGGATCATGCTGTTGCGCCAAACGCTCTGGGTGGAGTCCCTCAAGCGAACCTCCAAATTCCCCACTGCTTTGTAGGTCCGACTGTTGAGTCGAACAAAACGCTTCTCTCCAAATGGGCAGCCGGAGAGTATCATTTGCCCTATCGACTCCGTTGACAATACTTCCGCTTCTTCTTGTATTTCTCTCTCATAAATCTCTTCTTTCCTATCTATTGAGCAAGAGACTGACACTGACCTCGCAGCTGCTGCTATCGATACATGTATATTTCCATTAAACCTAGACTTTCATTCCACATTTGTTCTTTTAACTTCCACCATCTGGGTCAGATGGGCCAGGATGCAGCACTACCACTTCACTCTCTTGGCATTGATGTCTGCTGTGTCTCTGAAACACGCATACATCAAAGCGGCGTGGTGACGAATCTTCGACTCCTGGTTCTGAATCTAACGACAATGACTATTCTCTTCCCGTCTCTGGCGACACTGTGTTAATCGCTCAAGATATTTACGGTATTGGAATCGCCCTAAGCAAACATGCTGAAAACAATCTGCTTAACTGGATGCTGATGAACAGTCACACGTGTGCGATTTGACTTCAGACGTTTATTGGAGGTACTAAGCACCGTCTGAAGACAAGATGCCTTTCCATAGCTTCCGTTCATGCCCCCCACTGACTGCAACTCGGAGGTTCTCAAAGACGATTTCTATCATGAACTCTCATCTCTTTGCATGGCGAATACTCACATCGTGACTGTTGCTGGTGACATGAATGCCCAAGTGAACAATACCTGGGAAGCTGTTTTGGGGTCGATGCACGCAGAATAGACAATGGTGATAGATTCATGTAACTATAAGCCGAGCACAGTTTGTATGTTAGCAGCACCGTTTCAACACGAATGTGTACACTTCGTCACGTGGCGCCCACCGAATTCTTCGCTGACCTGGATCTACATTACCCATATTCCTCTTCGCTACAGATGGCGCACATCAGTCCAAGACTGTCAGTCAATTTGGAGCACGTGCCTGGATTCCAACCATGATCTAGTGCGCGCACGCTTGGCGCTCACGCTTCCCACTTCAAAGAAGCGTCCAATTTCTATCATTGCTGGTAACTTGAACCCACTGTCTGCAGTTCCACAATATCATGAAGAACTGGCCCACCGAACGTCAGTGATAAATGAGGTTGGCGACACAGGGAAAGGAACTGAACCGCTCAGCACCATCATTTTACGTACCAGGCTCCGATGACTCGGCCAGGTGTTGCGCATATCAGCCCACCGACTTCCGCGACGTGCGTTGTTTGCTCACCGGGGGTGTGGATGGAAGAAGCGGAGGGGTAGCCAAGCGATGACTTTGTCGAGAGGAATGAAGGCCCTCACTTCTGAGCTGGCCTCGGTTGGAGTGTCTCGGCTCCCTGGTTGGGGTCCAAAAGACAATGAACACGTTTGGCAAGATACACTTGCTGAGGTGGCTAGGAGCCGACCGCAGTAGCGTTCCTGCTGTGAGTTTCTTTGTCCCTCCCCCTCCAACCACGATCTCATTTCGTAGCGTAATATAATTTTACATAATAATTTTTCTTGTTGCCTCGTAGCCAGCTAGTAGCTTTCCGGAACGATACTCATCCGTTGCTGGTAGCTAAGTTGGCATGCAACTGTGGTATTTATTTTCTTTTTTCTTTTATGTATTGCGGCACAGTAGCTGAAATGCTTTACACCTCTAGCTAACGTGTATAATGATGATGACGGTGTGGTTGTCGGCCCGAACGCCGCTATGCCATGAAGAGTGTCTTCGAATCGATCGGGAAGGTTAGTAGATTTCAGTGGCCCGTAGTATAAAGAAAACCAGTGCTATTGGAAACAGCCGAGTGCTGTTGCAGTTCATCCGGAAAACGGGTCCGAGAAAATATAGTTAGATAAGATAGACAGTTTATTCATTCTCAGCCTCTTCGTCCGGTCTATTGAGCGAAACATTTCGCAAGGCACTTCATCGGGTCTGCTGCGATACTGCCGCTTGCCGAATCGCCTGAGCCGATGTGGAAAGTAGAGGTCACATTTCCAACTTTGGAACACATTCGACATGATTTTTCCGTCTTGAAACGAAACAAGACCGCTGGACCCGACCATCTTTCTCCATCTTTGCTAAAAGATGAAGTGACCGTTTGTTGGCTGGACTTGCTTCTCTATTTAACACCATTTGGAACACTTAAGAGGTGCCTTCAGACTGGTGACTGTCGTGCGCATCTCCAAGAAGGGTCAGCGCACTTTGTGCGAGAATCCTCGAGATATTAGCCTTGTTTCTATTGCCTCCCAACGTCTAACAGGTATCATTCTCCGACTAATTACTGGTGTTTTTGAGAACCGAATCACTGAAAGCCAGGTTGGTGTCCGCCCTAGTCGCGGTTAAGTAGACCATATATTTACGCCTCGCCACCTTTTAAAGCCGAGATATGCATACAGACGTCCGACTATGGTGGTTTTTCTTGACCTGAAAGTCGCTTTATACTCTATTGAATGCGCCAGCTTGTGGCACTGACTATCCATGAGGAACTCGCCGCCTAAATTCCTTTCCATTATTATACTTACTCTGCCGTGACTCCCGAGGTCGTGTAAGGGTCTACGGGAAACTGTCTATTGAGTTCCCCACGATAAGTGGGATTCGTCAGAGTTGTCCTATATCTCCTTTCATTGTCAATTTTGTGGTCGTAATGATTATAAATGACACGTTTCTTGCAGACTCTACCGGAGTAGACGTTCTGCCAGGCGACCGACTGACAAACCGGGAGTATGCGAACGACATTGTTCTCCTTAGGTCTGATGCAGTGACTGCAAATGCTACTGCATATACTGACGCTTAGCGCTGCCCGTTTCGGCAAGTGCTTTGTACCTTTACATTACAGACTACTGTTGTAAGACTGAACCGAAACAAATTCGGTTCTAGCTATCATGGAACAGCCACTGGAAGTAATGGATCGGTTAATTTCCTTGGTAACCGTGTCATCTCTGGTGGTCACTTCACTGACGAAGTTACTACGAATATGAGAGAGGCCCATATGGCTTTTCGCAGACTGAACCATCTTTGGAGACGGCGGGGTGTTAGCCTGTCCATAAAAGGTAGCGTGCACAACGCTGCAGTAAGACCGATGTTGTCGTATGGATCGGAGACCTGGCCAGTTCACAGCGAGGACAAACGCTTGGCGGTGTTTGACCACCGGTGCTTGTGGAGTATTGCTCACGTCTGGTATGAAAACCAGGTGAGCAATGCTGAGGTCCGCCAGTTGGTTTCTGTCAAGAAGTCTTCTGGTGTTTCACTCGAATGTTTACTGAATCTTAGTCGCTTACCTTGGCTAGGCCATGTCCTCCGTATGTCCTTTGAGCGGCTTTCTCGGCGTGCATTATACGCCTTGACTACACTAAGTTTGGCAAAACCGCGAGACGGCCAGTCCATGACGTGGCGTAGAGGCATGAAGAAGCTGATCGAGGGGCTTGGGCAGGCTGGTGCGTACCGTCTTCGTGGATGGGGACCATGGGATTGTCCACACCAGTGGTCTGAGACCGTATCAGACATGGTGCAAGCACGCAGTCGGTGGCGTTCCTGCATTCGGTTTCCTTCATCTGGTTGTTAATTTCCTCTTCATTTTGATTAGGCTAATGCACCTCTTCCTTGCTTCTATTTCCTTTGCATTCAGCCCCACTATCTTACCGTTGTTTTTTGTTATTCTTGCGACGTGTGTTGTGGCAACGGGATCCACTGCACTTCGGTGCTCGGATCATAGTTGTTCAACTGAACTGAACTGTAAACGGAGCATGTGGGCTGATAAGAAATCCTAGTGGACCAATATGGTTCAAGCAATGGAGGAGGCGGGAGCAGTAGGCAATTATCGCAAGATCCTGAAACCGATCCACACCACTGTTCCCAGGAAAGCGGTCGTCAGTAGGACAGTGAGACAGAACAGGTGCGCTAATTCGCAATGATGGGATCTTACTGGCTCTTTGGGATGAGCACTTGCGAGGGCAGTATAGTTGGTCCCCTGCTTCTGGGTCTCATTATGAGGCAGCCTGCGTCATGGCGGGCTAGTTTAGAGGCTTCATCTGACGCCGAGGTCCGAAACATGATCAGACCCCCAGATCGTTTGCTGGTCTGGTTACCCATGCAATCCCAATATTTTAGGATGGTGGTGAGGTTCTGGAAGCAAGAGATTAGTCCAGCTAACTAGAGTGGACCGATCATCTTGGCAAAATACGGTAAGAACGGTCTTACTAATATCAGAGTTTATCCGCAGGCAGCATCTAAACTTGGCGGAAAGAACTCTGGATGCCACACTGTTTACCCAGCAGGGCATTTTTTACAGCTAATCATGAGGCCTTTATTTCCGTATGATAGTAACTTGCCTTCCTGACTATGGATATTTGCCCCGAATAAACTATACTCCGGAGCCGCGCTGTTGCTTAAGTACTGGTTGCCCGACCGTTATTCGTGATATTCGTTTGTTGAATAACTGCAACTCGATCTTAGTTTCGGTCTATTTGGGGATACTATTGAATTTTTTGCATACTTATTGGCAATCTGGGGATCTAGGTTTGTCCTTTACTGTCACGATCTCTATAAGGGTTCGAAGTTAGACTGTGCGGAACAAGGATCATATCAAAAACATTCAGTGTGTAAAATCGTATGAACCAGTTAGTAAGAATAACTCAGAATGCTTTAATTACCTTTGGGTACATTGTCGAAATGCTCCTTCCTGAAGAAATAAGATTCCTTTCTCTCCAAGTCTTCGCCATGTTCCTGCTTCCCGCTATCTGATTTACATTCGTAAGACTCTCTTTGAATGGACTGCTTGTCCTCTGCCAGGCATCTGTCAATTGCTTCAAGCCGACCAAAGGCAAAATGCCCAAACGGTCGCAAGGGAGTGTACTCACCACATCCGTTTTCAGCATCTACAATTTTACCATCTTCCACCATGATGATACCACGTAGGATCACGATTTGTGGCCTAGACCGCAATTTCAGTCCAGAGAATAGGTTGAATACACCATGAGGTAGAAGTAATCCATAAGCTTCCTCCTTCAATTCATCCATTTTGCTCCACACAACGATATCCGCGTCACTGCCAACGGCTATCCGACCTTTGCGAGGATACAGATTGGCCAGTCTGGCTGGATCTGTACTGACGGCTCTAACGAAGGTGCACGGGTCCAATCCACCGTGATTTTCTACACCACAGTGCCATAACACTGGTAGCCGGCAACCTAATGCGCACATACTCCTCGGGATTTTGTCACTACTTCTAAGACCCAAGGCTGCTTTTACATCGGTTCTCACAGCACAATGTCCAGATCCAACCATAAGGTGATCGTTCGTTGTTAGTTGGACGAGTAACTTTTCTCCTAGTCCCACATCTGGGCGCAAGGGAGGTTCGCTTACATATCCGGCGGCCACCGACCAGTCTTTCGACGAAGTGAACTCTATCTCACCGGACGTACGGGTCTGGAAAGCCGAAAAGGGAGCACCAATCGCACCAACAGTCGTCTGTCCGAACAAAAGGCCTCGACAATTGCGCCTTTGTTGCAAGAAGCATAACAAAGCCTCCGTACTGTGGATCCGTGACACAATCATAGGACACACCTGACCGCTGTGGAAAGCGTGGGAAGTAGCTCGCAAAATAGTATCCACTTCTCCCCTTTCTGGCTGACTGTGATAATGCAACTCTGGACCAACCTCTGGATATCTCGATAAAATATCAGATGTAATGCAGTTTCTGAAGTAGGGGGCTGCAGCTGCATGCACCACAGGGAGGATACCATGTTCACGACAGAAGCGCAATGCTTTGTAAAAGTTGTCATCGCTCGTAGCGCCGAGGCATGGCTCGTTCGATCTAGTCCCACTGCCTATCTGCAATTGTACTAGACATACACCATCATCCTTGACCAGTTTCTTCAGTTGGCCGGAGATTTCCGGGTCAAAACGAGATAGTCGAATAGATACACCGTAGTCACAGGCAAATTTTCCGGTGGCCGATTCTAGAAACTGTTCAAACGCGTCCACCAGCGAAGCGTCGGGTTCGGTATAAACAGTGTTTACTGAAAAAGAAGAATGACTAAATGTTTACAAACCACCGTATTAGCTGATATTCCCACACATGTTTTAATAACGCGAATCTGAGGTTTACGAAGTTTTGCACGGCACTATTTCGTCTCGATTAACTGGTGTGCAGCAGAAGTATTCACGCTTCACCTTACATCGGATTAAAATGTCAACCATGATGTATGTGGTGTTTGCTAAATGCGTCATTTTGCAAACCTCAGGAGCTATTGTGTACCGCAGGTTTGTTTTAGTATGAAGCGTCTGTAGATTCTGTGGTTATTCCTAAGCTGGAATCATCCTGAAGATGCGGCTACATACTTTGTACTAATCTGCTCGTTACCAACACCGTTTGAAGTAGTTTACCACTCAGAGCACCAGAAAAAAGGTACCGCACTCGTTTTTATAGTCCTTTGGCATAATTCCCGCCTCTGGTTGGCGCTACTTGATCACATAGTCAAGTAATCGTGTCGCTAATCCCTATTCGCCAAAGGCAACTCAAGTTGTGGGGAACATGTCACTAGTCAATGGTTCTCATTCGCTCGGTTGCAAAGGCTGCATACTAGGACCTACACTGGATGTACGGAGATACCTCTGCCTCATCCCACAGTGCACGCAGGTGCACCCGATGACACTTCTTACTCCACCCACATTCAGAGCAAATGAAAACACCAAGTTCAGTGTAGCACCAGCTGCGAACACATATCCGTCGGCAGCCATTGAGAAACTGCACCCGAATTAGCGATTACTGGTCATTCGTCCCACTGACATACCCTCAACTGAGTGTTTCACAGCTTTTTCCACCTACATGGACCTCTTCGTCAAAGCACTTAGTTCATTGTCGATATGATTACTATGTCTATGGTTATTTGATGGGAAAATGTGAAATTCTTGCTCTGGTACTTTGAAATATTGGTTAGGGACCCGATAACTTTGTGTTAGATGCTCGGAAGGTACTTTATTTCATTTGACTAGTTTAGCATTGAATTGCGGTGGACCGCTAACTTTGAGAGACGTCGTGTATAACAATAACAAGTAGACAAAGATGTTCATCTTAATGCGGTTTAACATACACTAGTGAGGTCAGGTGGAGAAACAGCAAGGAATTTACTACCGTGTTTGATCACTGTGATCATCCGACAAGCTTCAGGTGAAGAGGATGCAGGCATCGGTGGAACTATCTATTAGACAACACCACATTTTCGCACCACGTCGTTTTCTGGCGGATATTAACCATTAATCCACCTAGGTAGGAGTCTGACAACCGTAGCGGAGTGCTTTGTTTAAGTTGAGTTTATTTGATTACATGTAGAGAGTTGTGTTTACCTACGTTTATAAGGCAGGGATGTATCCTTCACCGCCCATGTGCAAGTCTAAAGTACCTGTGTAATGAAAACACACGCTTTTTGTTAGTCTATATTCATTACAACTTAGAAAGAATAACAACAAAATATGCGCCGTAGTAACTACCTTAGATTCCTTGACTGAGTAGTCCTTCAAGTGGAAAACAGGACAGGCCACTACTCCAATTTGTCACAATTAAAACATTTACTTTCAGAGCAAGAGGGCACGAATGGGGGTTTGAAGGATCAAAAACTCACCTATTGTGGTTGTGCCACCGAGTATCGCGTTCTGCGACCCCGAAAGATAGCTGTCGGCCACAGGATCTTCCAAGCATGACACAGTTAAGTGACAGTCCAGGTCGACACCTCCTTGAGTGGAAGTAAAGCGTAGAGTCTTTTGCTTACCTGGAAGTATGTATTTGCCAGTGACATCAATTATTCTTGTCCCATCTGGCACACACAAATCAGATCCTATGTCCCTTAGTCATTTATTCAGGATAACTGTCTATGCTCACCTTATCACACCATTTTGTATGAGAACGTCCGCCACGATTGCTAAGTCATGGTTGACTACCACGCCACCTTTAAGAAGCAGCGACTCTCCTTTCTGCAAATAGCACAAGCATTAAACTTGATGGTTTGACGGAACGTACGTCAGCAGGCTCAGGCATACGTCCGTCGAATGGCTTTGCTACCCATGTTCAGAAATCGATGCTTCATCTTGTGGACCAATCACAGACACTGTATTGTGTGTTGCTTAGCCAAGTATCTATTGGACGCCACAATCTACGCACATCGGTTGTGGCGCGGTCGACAATGGCACTAGGTCGGCCAGTAACTGTCGACAGTGTTTCCTTACCGGCGAGGATTACCGTAGTCGATAAAGTCGTCCCACACTGGTTAACGGAAGTCTACGTGATAGCACACTGAAAATCCCAACGATGGGAAGCGTTTTATCACGACTTCGCTCTTTTAGGGCTGGGAACAGCAAATATTACTAAACGAGGTTGCATTGCTAAGGGTGTCCAGTGTGAGAAATTATCAGGTTGTAACCAAGAAGTCCACAAAACAATATCTTATATACGACGCGTCGACCTATGTGGGAACCGCACTGCGCAACGCCGTCCTCTTCCAGACCAACTTACGTATCTTGATAATCGCCACTCACCATGCTCACAAATATGTTAGTGGATTAGTAGTGAACCCTTCATGAGCGCACCGCAAAATTGGAAATTGATCAATACTAGTGCCTCGCTGGGGAACTCGTGTGTTTGTATACACATGGAGCGGACCACATGTTCCGGACATCCCTATCGGCATTGAGCGCCGCTGTATTGCCATCCACTTTTTCTCGTAGACTATCATTAAGCTACTGACAGACCAAAGCTTTTCAAAAGTTGCGAAATAACAGTATCTAATTTTTATATCACCGCTGCATAGACCAATTTGACGTTACAACACTATCCGCAATTAGTTTTGTAATATGTTCATGTTCCATTGTTTGCTGGTTCCATCATCGGATTTGTTCGTAAATAGCGTATTGGTACATCCAACTTCGCACATATGTGTTCTAGTACTTGAATGGTTACATCGGAGGTCGATTGTTTTACCTAAGTTGTGTTGACCCACAGATGTATGGAACTAGTTCCCAAAAATGCAAGCAACGCAGTACCGATAGTTATCGGTAGCAAAACCAATACCAAGTGTCCACCTTTTGTTCGAGATTCGGATGAACAATTGCGTTAGAGTTTGTATGCTCTAAGAAGCGTGTGCTTCACAATTCCCGTCAGGCTGTCTGGTGAGAACGCGTTAACCTCACAATAGAAACGTATACTTCTTTCTGGCAAAATCCGGACGTTTGGTACTTCGTGTTTGTGATGTAGTAGTTCGACTCTTCACGCTGCTTCTGCAGCCTAACTGAGTGACGGCTAGCAAAGCCAAGATTTTCGTCCCGAAAGTGGAAAATGCTGGAATACAGGTGACTGAGTGCATTATCCAACCGTCTTTAAATGTGGTTGCTGTCCTGGCAGGAAGGATGTATTCGGGGAAGTAATTTCTCGAGGGTGGCATGCCCGAACCGCAAGGAGATTTCTGTGGCACCCCAAGCGGATGTACTGCTAACAGTCTCAAGGAGCAGCAACTCAAGCTGGTGTTACTGCTGAGCCCCATCAAAGAGTGGCACGCATGATATAGCATGTGCACGATTAAGCACTTTATTGATAAGTCGCCTCGTAATCACCAATCCCTTCTTTTTGTACTTGCAAGCATTTCAGTCTGTGCTCGTATAGAGGTGCGCATTCCAGTACTATACTTGGAAGCCCAGCCTTGAGGTTGTTCCAGTGAAATGGGGTCATGTCTTAGCCATGGTTATCAAGCTTGAATTAGGCACTCGACGGGAAAGCGGAAATAAGCGCTGAGGATTTGACGACAAATTGAGATAGCTGTGTCCAGATGCTATTATGTGCCCCATGCTGAGGCTGATGTTGCATTCTTGATGCTTCTTCACCGCAGTTGGGCTAAACCAACTTACACTTAAACTAGGTTTTTTTAAGCTGGATAAATTTCATTCCGCTTTATTTGGTTTGTTCTGCCTCCCTGAATAATGTTCTATTAACTGGCCATGTTCCTTACACTAATTGCGCTTATCTTCGGTAATATTGTTGCTTTTATAGCATTTTAAGTAACTTGGGGACATTTCTTACTTATCACGGATTTGTTGCTAACCAACTTACTTCATATGGTAATTTTGCGAAGAGTTATGCCACCGTATCTGTATGCATTATTGGATTTATTTTATTTCATCTTGTCGTTTAAAGTGAATGGCTATTGTTTGATATCCCTGGTATGGTTGCGCTTGATGTGTATGTTGACAAGGTGCCTACCTGTCTATTACCCACTACCTCGTTCATATTGGCTCCAGGAGACAGTTGGTCGTTGTTGGAGGGGACGGGGTGCACGGTTCTTGTGGCCGTGCTAGGCTCAAAGAGCGATTCCATGCATTCAGTGTGGGGCGGACTACGGTCCAGCCACCGCCTTGTGTGCGCTTGATTCCCCAAATACAGTGTGCTTGTGTTTGCTTGTGAAGGAGTGTGGGCCGGCTCCGTTGATGAAACGTGGTTCCCATCCACATGCCTCCCGGTCTTATTCCTTCGGGTTTACCCTGGATATGGGGTATGTGGTTGGAGCTGTGGGTGGTGCAGCGCAAGCCATCCATGGTCCCTCTGTAGGCGCAGACGTCCTGTGGCTTGCCACAGTGACAGGCAAATCCGAAACCGGATGCCGCCAACCTTGTAGGTCCTAGTGAGAGTGGGTGTCTTATTTTGGATGTAACTACTACTGTGCACAAAAAGAAGCAGAAGAACGGGGGGCAAAATGAATACTGGATTATGGGAGTAGAAATTTAGATTTGCAAAGCTCCATCGCGGTGTACTAAAAATATAATAAAATGTATCTGCCGCGCGAGATATTCTAATCGTTCTTCCAGTTATTATGTAGCATTAGAAAAGGTCTGACTTACAGTTTCACCATTCTCACGAATGTAAGGTCTTCTGTACCTCGCTTCTTGGGATTCGACAGTACGCAGGTTAGCCGTACTCTAGTAATAGTCTTACGATGGGAGAGAAGAAGCGAGTGGCGACCTCTACAGACAAAGTACCGAAGGTGCATTTGAGCGCCTAAAACATACTCAGTCTATTACTTTAAAGCCTGTTCGTGTTGTAAACTGACTTCAAATTGTAACGCGAGGGTACACGTAAGTCCTTCAGGTAGGTGTGAGATGTAGTCGTTGGCCGTCAATTGTGCAAGTTCGGCCGTCACCACCCTTCCCTAGGCTAATGAGTACCGATTTGCTTGGGTTGACTGAGAGGCGGTCTTCTGCAGACCACATGGAGGGGCGGTTGAGGTCCTACTAAAATATGCTGCAGTCGTCTAGGGTGCTAATCACTCTCTAAATCTTTTGGTCGTCCGCAAACGTGGCACACGGCGACTGAGGAATCTGAGATAGATCGTGTGTGTGGATTAGGAACAGAGTAGGCCGCAGCACCGTGCCACTTGTAGAGAGATACAAGACAATTAGATAGCCATGAACCTGTACTATCCACTTTCCTCCAACAAGGAAGTCATGAATCCACTGGTGCTGTTATCAACCAACACTACAGACTCTCAGATAGTTTACTTTTTCAAACGCTTTGCTGAAATCAATATAGATCACATCCACAGACTTTCCTGAATCACTTCTCACAACTATTCATTCCTCGTCACCATGAGTGGCCTAACCTAAATCATGCTATGCGAATGTCAGTAGCTCTTTTTATTGGAGCAGTCTTGGCCAAGACAATTGTCAGACAAATCGGCCCGTAGTTGTTCACCTTACCGGGGTAAACACCATTCGGGATCCGCTTAACGGCTAGGCATTTCCAGTTGCTCCACAATGAATCTTCGGATAGTTACCTGTTGAACAAGTCATTTACAACAGGTGAAATGATGGCCGATAGGTACTAGAGAATCAGTGGGTGGAATCCATCAGCGCCTGCAGGCTTGATGCCGTCAAGGTTGGCGAGTAAGTGATGCTCTTCTTCGACACCGCAAACGAGACTGTCGAGTTCGGTAAGCGCGGTACACCTCAAACTTGCTACAGACACCTAGTCATTTACAAACACGGAAACGAAGTGCGCCGCCAACACGGACGCAAACGTGCTTGTGCTTAAGGGTTGTGCGTCCGAGCGCTCGAGCACTGGTAGATCATCTGCCGGCTTGAGGCGCAACTTCACATATGCAAAGATCCGCTTCGAGATGTCATTTCCGAACTGCACCTCGAAATACCGGCGGTTTCTACGCTATTTCAATGGTCTTTGGTATCATGCGTATAAAAAGAAGCCGAAGCTTGACATGTCCCGCCGGATGAAAGCTTAGGCGTGAGCACAATAAAGGCACAAATGGAAATAGGAAATAGTTAACCACTTCAAATTGCAAACTTGCCGATTACAGCGTTCCCGTCCGTTTTATGTACTAGCCAAGTTTATCTTTTGTGGCTTTTTTGTAAAAATGGAGGTGGGTTGATTTCTATTTGCTTTTTTACTGTTTGTTTGGGTCGTTTAGATTACGTGCATTGTCGACAGGTGCTTTGAACACTGTTAACGTGGTAGTTGAAAGAACTGGTTCTGAGAGGGTATTCCACATGTGGTAAACATACCGCGAGAGGAAGTTTCTTCGACACTCCAACCGACTGTATTGTTCTGCCAACTTGAGATGATGACCTCTCAATTGGTTGTTGTGACTTAGCTTCAATAGGTGATGGCAGGGGTGATTAGTGTTGCTTAATATTTGGTAAACCATGATTAGGTCACCACACAAATGGCGGTAACCTCCGTTGAAAATGCCAAGCACTCCGAGGCGCTGTTCGTATGACAAGTGCCGCAGTTCCTTGACATTTTTAGTTGTCCGGCATTGTGGAAGCTCCAAGGCCTTGAAATACCCGTTGGCCATGAGTGCCACGCTTGAAATGCATATTCAGCATGTGGGCGTATATAAGCGGGAATTATTTGGCGGAACATAGACAGTTCAAATTGCCCGAACGCTCTCCGTAAAAGCCCCACGATTTAGATACCCTTCTTCAATGGCTTTTTGGACTGTTCCGAGCAGCCGAGATCTTCCTGGACCAAAACATTGAGATAG